ATCTACAAGGGCGGAAGACTTGGGACAAGATACGTTCAATTAAGTCGCCCTGACAACAAGACCAAGTTGAGAAAAAGAGGTCAACTCACTTATATATATATATATACTGACGGCCACACCATCTTGGTCTTCATATTTTATTTTAATGCTAGGTTCACCTCGTTTTTCCAATTAGGTTTAGGTAAGTTCCACAAGGTCTACCTTTCGCTCCGACTAAGTTGCGAAAACAAGGTCAAATCAACACTAAGCACATAAAGGAGCCCACACCATCTTTTTTTCTATCACATTCCCTTTTTAATACATAAATGAGACCTGACAGTAAAATTTATTTAGAGTTAGGAGGATTTGTGTGTAGATAAAAGACATAATGAGTTCTGACGACTTGTGGTGCTATGACAAAGCAAGATGTATCATTCATTTTGAACTACGTCATATAAACATAACTTTGAGGTGCTACTGAGTAGTAGTCTATGAAAGGCAAAACCGCTCTAGACATTTTTTGACCTTAGGTCCTAAATAACTTGACAATAGTGAACTTATGCCGTTCATTTGCTGTAGGTCTCCAAGTCTACTCTTTGAAGGAGGCGGCTAATGAAGCTAAGCCGATCAATTTCTATGACCTAGGACACAAGTGGAAAAAGTAGACTCTACATATCAACATTACCGTCTTTTTACTTTTCTGACATTGCATTGTCGCCAGGGCATATTCTGATCATTCATTTTAATATAGCAATACCTTACAGCCCCTCTCTAAATACTACACAAACTTTCATCAATGAATCTTACAACTGGCTGGTATGTGTTCACAATCCTTAAAAAATTAGTGATACATAGAAAGAAAATATACACAGACATTCAATAATGTAGTAAACCGACTTATTGACCAAATAAATGTATGTAGGTGGAATTTTCATTGAATAAACTTCCTCATTAAGAGTGGAGGGAATCGAGATTGATAGGCAAACCAGAGCTGGGATGGTCCAGCTAAAAGTAGATAAATAAGCCCAAACCTAACACTAGTGCTAGGAAGATGAATTTCGCCCGCTTATAATAATAAATGAAAGGGTATTTCCAAGCTTTTAGTCAGAAGCTAAATAATAAGGAAATTTATAAATAAATAACAAAATCCAGACTAAGCCGCTGCTAATTAGTGTGGGGCTGTTGACATTATTTCCATAAAGTTAAATGAAGTATCAACAATCGGAAATGGCGATTGCAAAGGAAATGATTTTGGTAAAGTTAGGATGAATTGCAAAAGTAACAGTTAAGTGAATAGGATTTAGAGAGGATGACATGAGCCATAGAAACTTTATGAACTATGGAGTTATGACAACCCGAGCTCTCCTAATTCACCAAAGCATTAACAAAATGATCTCAACTTGTGCAAAATGCATGAATGACCTCCAAAAATCAGGAATTCCGAAGTTTTAGAAGTGCCCTTAAATGCATCAAATAAACTCTTAAATAATAACAACTTGGGGGCCAATTTGCAATTTAACTCTTTGGTGACATAGCAGTCGCATTCTCGGCAAACAAAAATTTGTCCTCAACAAACTTACTCGGTAATAGTCGTTGCCAAAGTTGAGCGCTTTGCTCATGCCGAAATCGCTTATCTTGGCGAAATGCCGTGTCACCAGCAGTACATTCCTGGCAGCCAGATCACGATGCACGAATTTACAGGACTCCAGGTAGGCCATTCCTTGGGCAACCTGGTACATAAGTTCTGTGATAGTGTGCACGGGAACATCGCTGGCCGGAGGGAGATAAGCGGGGTTAGAGGAAATAGATAAGTGAATAGAGTTATAAAGGAATAACCATTTCGGCATATGGGCAAAAGCACTTGACTACAGGACGCCAACATACATTTATACTATCGACAAATAAAATGGAAGTAGATAGATAGACTAAAAATGAAGCATAGCTACATCATAATCAGAATTGTTCTGATCTTGTGTTCGTAGCGCCGTCATGTTTACAAGGTGACTTCAAAGAAACTGCCTCTCACTCTATTCCAAACCATTTGCTATTCAATATCTGACCAGCGATCTTGTACTTTCTCAGAACTTAAGCTAACATCATGGTCAGTCTCATTAGTAGTAGTAGCACGGAGTAAGAACAATGACTACACTTCTTAAAACTAACCATAAATAGCTCTCTTTCACCAATGTAATATCTTCACAAGTTATCTCATTAGCAATCAAGTGCCACATTGCTTCGTCCAAGCTGGTGAGGGCTCTGCCGGCTTCAGAACCACCGCCATTCCAACCTCTTGATCGTAAATGAATTCTCTACTAGGACTTTATACTCTTCAGCTCACACTTGTTCCAGCAACTATGCATTATAATATGCTGTTATATTATTATTAGATTACAATATATAATTGCAATATATTATTCATTAATAAGAAGTTAATATAAACCATTTGCATGTTTGAGCTCAGACAGTAAAGTTCAGCATCCATCTGAAAATAGAAGAACCGTTGTCTAATATGCTCAAACATAGATGCGATGCTGTTTATATGCATGTAGACAAAGGAGAAAGTACTCTATAAAACATTTATCCCTTTAAGTATGATCTATTTGTAAAAACAAGTACGCGAATCATACTGGCAGTTATATATGAATAGAAGCTGGGTTTCTAAAAATCCATTAGTTTAAAAGGCGGCTGGAAGAGATTCGTAAATTGGCCGCATTGGATACCGAAAGAAGGCTGCCTTGGATTTGTGAATATTGGATTGTGCGAAGAAGACCTCGGCTCATCGTTCTGCGAACCCGATGAATCTGTGCTATGCTTCCCTAAGTCATGTGATGGACATCGTCAAGGCCAGAAGTCATCACTTACGAACAATCAGCAAAAAAACATTTAGCCAAGAAAACTGGCTAGCTGGAATCCGACTTACTTCTTATACCCAACTTTCTTGATCTTAATGAGGCAGCCTATGATATGATCGTATACTTTTGCTTGCCATACATGCAAATAGACCAGTGAAGTTGATGCATCCCAATGGCTGCTGATAATGAACTATGCATGACCAGACAACGCTACTCAACTAAGACGATGTGGCCTAAAAGAAGAGAATAATAAGTTATGCTTCGTTGATAAGTAGGTTTTCGATACTACCATTAATCACATACATGAGATGTATTCACGCTCTTTCGTTAAGGTGATGAAGGACCAGTAATTAAATTTGCCCATAATCGTATGAATGTGTTTTAGACATAGACATAAAGACTAAGAAGTTATCGCTTCCATTTTGGTCTCAGTCTCCTTCTGATATATATAGAAGTGATCTGACCTCGTTTTCGCAACTTAGTTGTGCTGTCAGGGCGACCTTATTGGACGCACACTGTTCGAGGTCCTCTTACCTTGGCTCTTTGACAAATTAAGGCTTGATGCTGAGAATGGCAAGACTCATTGACGATGCCGACTACAATGGCGGCAAAACGTCCAAGAAGTAGCAAGGTCATGGTTCAACACTGAGAATAGATAGCGGAGGAGCTCGAACAAGGTGCGTCCAACTAGGTTGCCCTGAAAACACGATCAAATTGCGAGAATGAGGTCAGATCACTTCTTAACAAAGGGTATTCTCATTCAGGATGGAATGCACTTTCGAACTCGCCTAGGCCTCATCCAGTTCTTTATCAGCTTAACGAAACAGGGTGAATTCATCTTATATATATATATCTATGCTCCACTGGTAGTCTAGAAAATAAACTTATAAACGAAAAATAGGTAATGTAGTAGATTGCCATAGCAAATAAAACTTTATTTAATCGATAATCCCATTAAAGAAAGTGATATTGAAAAAGTCCTAGCTTTCCTCAAGATGAACGCGTGGAAATGTGGCATAATTGTTAACGCGTCGAGACTCTAAGTTGTATCACATAAACCCAGGTTCGATTCTTGCTGGCGGTAGTGATGAGGTCTCGGCGAGGTCGAAACTTCAGTCCATCCTGGATAGCAATACCTTATATGAGTCAAAGCTATGTGAAATTCAATAGAAAAGTAAGGCCTACCGACATAACTGTGACAAAAATTAAACTACCGGTCATTCTTCATCCCCTTATATAAATAACGATGAGTAGATCTCGGATATATATTCCACAGGTAGTCTTGAAAACATACTTATAAACGAGAAATAGTTTATATGCTTTGACTATATCGTATATGTCCTAAAATTATGAAAATATGGCAGAATTATGAAACGCAAAACTATGGTAAGACAAAAATATTTGAAGGAAGAGCTATTCAAGCACTGGTAATTCTTCACTATGCAGGACATGAACAGAAATGCTGTCATTGCATAATGGGACAATGATTAACTGAGCATAAAATCATGCTCCCCTCAGTGACTTACATAAAATACCGGTGACCCCCCTGAGCTAAAGGCAGAGAGGTAGCGTGCTACCATATGGAGAAACTAAGCCTTTGTGACCTATTTCTCTAAAAGATGATAAAGTTAAAAATTTGATCCTTCAAGAAAACGACCATTGTTACAGTTTAATTTCATAAAGGGTATACATACTTTGGAGAAGGGCGGGAAAAGTTCAAGAAATTGGATTTATAGTGAGCAGTCTTTGTTTAGTTTGTCACAGAATTGATGGGCACGACAAAATTTAAATATTAATTACATATCTTAGTATAAAGCGGAATATTATAAAGGAAAAATACGTAATATTATAAATTTGAATGGCCATATAACTCCCTCAGTGGCCTTTTGTATCGCCCACATCTACTGTGTTCTGA